GCAGAGTTCAGCTTTCTGGAACTGTGCTGACTTATTGTGAGAATATTTCAAACATGCCAATATAGATACTTTCCTTACAAAAGATCCTTCAGGTTTCTATCTCAGCCTTATACATTTTCAGTAGGAGATCACTGGATCTTCAAAAACAGGTCAACAGAAAATTCATCTAAGTTTCAAACATTAAAAAAAAAGTTTATGTAAATGTCTATGCTTTAAAATACTGTTTCAGGAAAATTTAGCAGGGTGGCATAAAGAACTTATTCAAATTAATAGATTACTTTTCTAAATGATATCAGTTGCTTGGGGGAAACAACTTAAGAATGCTTATTAAATTCCAAATACCTTGGAATATCCTGAAAATGTGTAGCGTAAGTCACATTTAAATGTGTTCATTGCATTTAAGAGTCTGCTTTACCCACATCACAAAAACACTTATTTTATTTTGTCTAATCAACTGATAGTTAATAATTCAACACTAGGCTATTTTATTGCTTTTCTCTGGCTAATCAGTGGCAGCAAAGATATGCTGGTTTTCCATAACTAAAGCCTTCTAAGCTTTCTTATCTCTTCCATTCTGGCAACTCAGACATATTAGGGGAAGTAGGGATGATAAGGAGAAAAACAGAGAAAGGAGGAAGGGAAAGAAAACAGGTAGAAGGGTGTGGTGAAGCCTAGGTCTGTCGCTGGCACTCCTAACCTATTGCTGAGTGACTTCAATCATTTTATAACACAAGAGTCTTCAAAATTCAACAGTTTAAACAGAAATTTCAATCATCCAAACTTTGTGAGGATCACCATGACACCCCAAAAGGAAAATTCCACATGTGACTTCCAAATCTATGTTGCAATTGAAACAGACACACAATTAACTAACTAACTAACTAACTAAATAAATAAATAAATAAATAAATAAATAAATTGGTCTGTGTGTGCTTGTGTATGAATATGCGAATGGGTTGTGTGTCTGTAGTATAGAGCGAGCTGTGCACAGGCCAGGGGAGTTTGTGCTATTATACCATGCTCTATCTACCTTATTCCCTTGGCCAGCAAGCACCAGAGCAATTCCTATCTTTTCTTGTGTGTATAGGTGCCAGGGTTCCAAGCTCTGGTCTTCAAACATGGCAAGTGCTGTTATCCACTGAGCCACCTCCACAATTCCCTAAAATAGCAAATGAATTTACCTTTAGAACATCTCTATGAAGCATGCTTGAAACAGGAATTTCACTACTGGACTTACATTCAGCCTGTGAGTTACCACTCAGTATATATCCAAATGTGAAAAAAAAAAAAACAAAAAACAAAACATTGAGCAAATCTGCATCCCAAAGGCACTCTGCCCTGGTTCATTTCAATAAGGGTTGCTCAGCCCCTCCTGCCATGCTTCCTACTGATGCTGAAGTGATGCACTCCTACTCTGTAAGGTAAGCATGCTTTTTCATTCCACCTTGAAATCAACAGTTATAAACTATCGCTTCTGTTCTAACATCACTGATTGTGGCCATCATTTCTAGCTGTAGCTTTGGGGAAAAAGCAAGCAGGAAAAATCAAAGCCGTCCTGCTAGCCCTTCCTATATGTAAATAAGAAAACAGGCTCATGCTCCTAAGGGCTGCACGATGGGCTTTAAAAAAAAAAAAAATGAGGCCTGCACATGTTGTAATTGTCAAACAGCCTGGCTGACTTTTGACCTGATTTAGAATTATTTGAAGCAGCTTACTGACACTGCCAATAACATCTCACATAATAGAACACACATCGTGTAACTGAACCACAGACAGTGCTGAGTAACATAAAGAATACAGGAAATACATGTTTCAAATGTAAACTGCTCCAAGAGACTAGCTACCGAAGGGTCTGGAAGAAAAAAGGCCCTCACGGAGCCTCTTTACACGGCTGGGTCACATTTTCGAAGTCTTTAATGCTTTCGTCTCATGAACTTGCTTTTTTAAAGTCTATAGTTTTTCAGGTCATCACATGGAACAAAAGTTTGCCTCCCTTTCTATCAATAAAGATTTAGTCTAATATCACTGGATATGCTTAAGCCATAGAAACAGAGCATGCCTTCCAAAGGTTGGATGAAAGAGACAGGCAGCCTTTTAGAAGAGCGGGTACCAGTCTAATCTGAAGCTTGTACTGTCCTTTCAATCTGGACAGAGAAACAATTAATAAAGGGACCCATTAAGACTTGATTATTGCAGCTAAAAAAGGAAGGTAGAATTTCAGCCCTTTGAAGTAACTGAGAATGATTCAGGCCTCATTACAGAGATATAATCTACATTCATACATTTATGTTAGTGATTCAAATCTATTGGGAGAGATTGGATTCCGTTAAATAGTGCATCTCTCCTGTGGAACTTTTCTCAGGCTTTCTGGGGCTGCGCTGAGAGGTGGCTTTACAATACAAAGTGGTGGGGGATTTAGGGATCCTACTGCACTGTGAAAGGAAGGCAGCACAGAAAGGAAAAAGAAGACGGAGATATAATCTAAAAAGCCATGTCAGCTTCTCCATTGGGCAGTTTGGTAAATGCCCTCCCTGTCATCAACACTGTACAGAGGAGCGGCGAGAGGACTCCAGACCACTCAGACACCGCACCTGCTGCGGCCAGTTTTAATGCGGAAGCTTCTAGAATGGCTCTTTCCTCATTTTAGACAGAATTAAAGTAAAACTTTTAGCTAGAGGATCTGAATAAGCTTCTCTGGAACAAAAAGGTGGTGTGTGTGTGTGTGTGTGTGTGTGTGTGTGTGTGTGTGTGTGTGTATAAGACACACGCACAGAGAGAGTGAGAGAGAGAGTGAGAGAGAGAGAGAGAGAGAGAGAGAGAGGTGTTGGACTGAATGCGTGTCTGGTGTGAATTAAAAAAAGAAAAACCACTCAAGTTGGCATCAATAGTATTGGTGCCCAGTGTAAAGAAACCCCAAACTAATTACTTCCTGTGTTTCATAATTTTTCACAAAAGAATCTTCATTGTATGTTCCCATCAAACATATTTTTAAATGTAGTTTCAATTAGTTGTCAATTCAAACATTTGAATTCTTCTGTCTATGAGGATGCAACTTAAATACCCTAAGAAATTGTCTGCTCTCTCAGTCATTTGTCCGTTCAGGTATAAAACTGTGAAATAGGAAATTGAAATTAGCACTGTGGGCTCATTTTTCAATATCCATACTTTAATTAAAGAACCAAGACTTCTTTGACGCATGCTCTTTATTTGCTTAACTTTTCAATTAATAGCTACAGAAATCAGCTAATTATATTAAAGTTAGAAATCTGCTGTGATGTTCGTCACATTGTTGAAATCTTTTGAATAGGCATTGCAATGAGTTATAAATAATGCAATTAAAATCCCGATTCTGCTACTAAATAGTTCTATTTCAAAGGCGCTGAACACACAGAAAAATATAAGAATATGCATTCAAAGCCATTCTTAAAGTCCCTAAAATGTATTTGGGCAATCATTAATAATGCCTATCACTAGAACTTTTAAATTTTAATTTTCTTTCTCCAATTCTCAAGGCAGACTGAAGCCGAATGCTCATGATAACGTTTGTAGCTTGTGTGTGCAAGTTCCTTTTGTAATTTTTTTTTCTGAATCATTGTTGCGGTTGTCTATCCAGTTCACCTTGAAATGCCTGCATCTTACGCCGCCTCTTAGGTTGAGCTGTGTGAAATTACCACTTTCCTAAATGGAAAGCTGTAAGATATTGACAATTTGTTTGGCTTAGACAGAACACAGATGGCTAACTGCCTCACCCAACAGAGTAATCTATGTTCATGCATTCCCTCCAGTCTCCCGTTCCCTAGCTTAGATATTTTCCTGGAGAAGTGATCCTCTGGGAGTCAGAACTGTAGCACACTCAGGTAGGAATGGGTTAGCACAGTATTTCCTTCTGTGTGTGTGTGTCTTTTGATTCTGGGCAACGGCTTCCTGGGCGGCTCCTGACTTCTGTCTGCAACTGGGTTAAGAGCTGATTTGTGCTAGCTGCGGTAGAGTTAGGGGTTGGTGTGTGCTGGGGTGTGAGTGGAAGGTTTGTAGGTAGTGAAGCTGCATTGTAAAATACAGCCCTTCAGACATTACTTTTCCTCCTCTTTATGGTAAAATGCAAAGGAAATTACATAGGGAAGAGAACAGGCAGCAGGGGATTTGGTCAAATTGTGTGATAACATCTGCGATCGCAGGAAAGTGCTTAGACTTTGAAGTCCATGCGTGATTCTGTAAAGGACTCATGTTAGCAATTAGAAATCAGTAACTCGGGTCCCTGATTTCATTTACGCCAAGAGAGAGGCGATGTTTAAGGGTGACGATAAATCTCCCTGAGCTTAAAAAGTCAGAGAGGGCCAAAGTGTGAACTTTTTACTTCAGCAACGGAAGCGAGAAATCAATGATTCATTAAAACCCGAGACCTCCTTGGAAGCTGGCAGGAAAGGAGGAAACGAAGCAGCTCGTTAGGTCTCCCTTTTCGACTCTAGCTCCTATCGGTTTATAATCTGCTAATCTTGGGGAGAGTTTGCCTTGAGCATCCCCCGTTGTGCTCTCTCCCCAGCCCTCTTTCCTGCTTCTGGGACCTGGAGGGGAGAAACGCACAAAAGCCAGGCTCCAAATTGTATTTTCACGGCCAAGGGGGGTGGGAGGGGGGGAGAAAGGAAGAAAAAGAAAAGAAAAGAAAAAAAAAAAACTACACTGGAAAACAAGTGAGCAAGGGGCTCCCAGGAGGGGAGTGGTTCCCGCCGGAGGGCAGCAAAATTCGGAAAGCACGCGGACAGCTCGCGCTGGTGGCCAGTGCTGCTAGCACAGGACTCTGGAGCAGCAATTAGCTGGAGCTGCAGGCTGCGGAGCGGCTGCGCCCACGGAGGCTGCGAGGAACGGACCCGCAGCCCCCAGCTCAGAGCAAAGGCATCGCGTACTCCTCTCACCAGCCCCCCCCCCCAACCCGGCCCCTTCTCCACCCCCTCCCTTTTCCCTGGCTTTCCCAGCAGCTTAGGGTTTCAGATGTCCCACCGCCGTTTGACCCCCTCCCCCGCCTTCTCCACCCCTGCAAATGAGGTTTGACCAGCAGAGTTAGAGCCCACCTCTGGCTGAAAAGCACTGACATTTAGACTGCAGGCTTCAACCTGTTTACAAGCGGCTTTCCAAGGGCCTTGGAGGTGGAGGGTAGAGCCAAACAAAACACCAGCCGCCAGCCGCCCCCCAAACAAGAAGTGGCTTTCGGGAGACTTCACATCAACAGGCACCACCAAAAAGAGAAAGGAAGGAGAAGAAAACAACAGAGCCTGGGCAGCTGCCTCCAGTTCTGACAACTCCAAAGAGACACACTTTTTAAGTTGGCCAGCAGGCTGGGACTCTGCAAGCGAAGGACCAGAAGGTGCCAACCGCAGAGGGGCGCAGATGTCTTCCTGCACCCCCACCCCACCCACTTTGGGTTTTGTTCACCGTGCTGTCATCTGTTTTTCAGACCTCTTTTGCATCTAACATGGTGAAGAAAGGAGTGAAGAAGAGAACAAAGTAACCCCCGAGTGGGGAGCGGAGAGCGCTGGTGACCGACACCACCAGTTCCTACTGCTGCGGCCACCCACGTCCACTGTTCACCCGGAGACTGGAGAGACACGGGCAGCGGATCTGAGAACGGAGCGAGGACAGGCAGCCGGCCCTTCCGAGGAGTTATGGATGTTGGTGTATTCGCTTCTGACCAGATCCGTACCCGGAGGGAGCTAACCAGTAGCCACCACCTCCAGCTGTCTCTTTGCCTCGCACCAGGTCTTACCCTTCCAGTATGTTCCTTCTGATGAGACAATTTCCAGTGCCGAGAGTTTCAGTACAATGTGGAAATGGATACTGACACATTGTGCCTCAGCCTTTCCCCACCTGCCGAGCTGCTGTTGCTGCTTCTTGTTGCTCTTCTTGGTGTCTTCCGTCCCTGTCACCTGCCAAGCTCCTGGTCAGGACATGGTGTCACCAGAGGCCACCAACTCCTCTTCCTCCTCCTCCTCTTCCTCCTCCTCCTCGTCCTCCTCCTTGTCCTCTCCTTCCAGTGCGGGGAGGCATGTGCGGAGCTACAATCACCTCCAAGGAGATGTCCGCTGGAGAAAACTGTTCTCCTTCACCAAGTACTTTCTCAAGATTGAGAAGAATGGAAAGGTCGGCGGTACCAAGAAGGAAAACTGTCCGTACAGTAAGTAACAAATGCGTGCTCCTCTCTTTCCAATTATCCACCCCCACCCCACACGGGGAGGGGGGGGCAGAATCTGTTCCAGATGTGGCCAGCTAAATATTTATGTCCCCAACCCCTGTAAAATGATGAAGTGGAATACTTTCACACTAAATCAACCCCCTCCCGAGTATACATTGTGCCGCAGGATTCCCTCCACCACGCAAGCCTCCTCCACCTACTGCCACCCTATTCTGGATCTCTCTAGCTTGTCACTCACAGGACCACTCCCGGTACCCTAGAGTTGTTCCTGCTAGGAGATTCCCCATTCTGTCTCCAGTACCCCCACATCTCATCCAAAGGTCTCCTTTCCCTCCCTTCTGGAAATGGCTCAAGTAAACACATTGTGTTTCTTTTCGCTGGCAACCTTAAGAGTTTTGGGACAGACTCCTAAAGCTGAAAATAATTATCCACTGTCAATTAGAAGGGCTTTATATGACCTTTACGGAAGAAGAGTCTCTTCCACTGTCTACTGGCCCCCATCTTTTGCCCCACCAGTTCTAGATAGAAGCCAGAAGAGTTTTTTTCCCCTAGTTTTGAACCTCTTCCCCTCATTTTGGGTCCCTCATTCTGGTTTGAGTGATTGCAGTCCATGAAGTAGTCTTTTCGGGCAGCACCACGGCTATTTGTCTCTTGCCTGCCTTCTCTCTTGGTAACATGATGCTCATGTCTGCATTGTCAATAGCATATGTGCTGCTTTGTGGTGTCTTGTTGTACTGTTTCTTCTGAACCCTCTCATATTGCAGAGGCATAGTACTACAGCATTGTAAACATCTGGGACTGGAGTCACACAGACCTCACACAAATTTCATTGTCATTCTTTTATTTTCAAAGCAAAAGCCTAAGTCTGTTTCCAAGACTGTATCCCATAGGGCGAGGTTTGTCTCCCCAGCACACATTCGGCAGGGGATCCTTGGATCTCTTTCTCTCCTTCTTCCTGTCTCGCTGGTCTTTCTTTCCATGGTCTGTCTTCTGTTGGGGGAGGGGAGAGCCTGAAAAAGGGGAGGAAAAAATGAGAAGGGAAGGGGTGGATACCAAGTCTCTTCTTGAACCAACCCAGGCAAGCCAAATTATTCTGTTGGCTTCCTTTTCTGGTTGCTTTCATGTGCTGAGACTTATTCATACTCTATTGATAGTTCTTTGAAAGGATTCCCAAGGCTATGTAATGGCACACTGAAGACAGTAGACGATGACGTTTAAACATCTTTAATGACCACTTGGCTTTATCTCTGTGGTAAATTCCAAGTCACCTTTCAAAGGGAACGTTTTGTGTTAGTTCTTTGGGAATTCCAAACATATACTGGCCAGCACACTGAAATATGTTAGTAACAAATTTCAGAATTTTTTTGACTCAGTTGTCATAAAAATGACAACTGACCAGAATTGTAGTGTTTTATTTTTCAATAAAGACTAAATGAATTAAGACTTAGTTTTCTTCTTGTGGGACTGACAAACATTCAACATTCTTTTGTTCCTTTTCAGTTGCTTTCATCCTAGTTGCTCATTAAAATTAGCAATATCTTTTTAAAGTAATACCTTTATAGAAACATTTGCAGTAATCTATGTTAGGTTTAGTATTGGAAATATTAAATACCTTATTACATATGCAAATATATTTCTTTCTGATGCTAAGTAGCTGGAATAGTATCTTTAATGATAATTTCTTTTCTTTGAAAGTCTCTTGTCACCAGAGTGTGGCAGATATTATCCTGTAAAGAGTCTTTATGGTCTGCTGATCCAAATCTAATAGTTATGCCTACTTTTAAAATAAAATCCAGTAGTGGTGTTCAGTTAAAGGAAGAAGCCGCCTCCAAATTGGGCTGCACTGTTTTCTCTTTTTAAATTCCCATGGCCTGAATTTCTTTTGTTCATGTGGAAAACATAAAGATATTGAATAAAATGTCCAAGTTTTAACTTTGAGCTTACTTTCCTCTTCTTAATGTTTTGATAATGGCTAGGTCTTGCTGTTACTGTGTTAAGTGTTTTTAAAAATGTGATGTAGTGATCTACCTGAAGATATTTTAGTTTATGATACTCAGATGACTATTTTGTAAAATAATGATCCCTGTGCCATGAACTACTTAGTAAAATGACTCCCATGGAACACATTGAGTTTTATTTTTACAATATGAACAATCCCAAATGAGAAAATTATGCAACTTTTATTGCACAAACAAGTACAGCAAATTCCCAACCTAACATTTAAAAATAGACATTATCTCTTTTGTGGAATAAAATATGGTAATTACTATTAGTCCATTTTGAAATTAAAAGCTAAATATATAATATAAGAAGACCATTCTAATTAACGGTTTAAAGGAAAAGGATGGTGGTTATATTGCTAAATATTGTCAAACCATAACTAATTTAAGCTTTCCAAGAACATGTGTATCAAAACATAGCAAGTGAAAAGCAGATTGAAAAGGCCTTAATTTCACATGTGGCCCAGTCATCAGAATGCAGCTATCATTTACAGCTGGACTGATTCAGCTGAAATACATGGTGTCATTTAGATATTGTTTAAATGTTGCAAAATTGCACATAAGAAACATTTGCCACACCCACATGGTAGCCAACCAGTCTGCCCACCAAATAGTAGCCTGTTAAATAGTAGAATATCTAACTTCTGAAGAGTGTCAGGTCCTTGTCCAAAAGCCACATTTTGGGACCATTTTCCTAAACAAGATATTCCTTAGTATCAATGCACAAAGATGTTATTTTAAGATTTGCGTATTTGAAGACTACTTTTCTTTGTTACGTTTGACCCTGGTGTCATCGCTGTTAGAATACCATCACTGCTTACCTAAGAGGTGATATATTTTTGATGCCTTGGATAATTAAACAGCATTTCACTGGCTCATTGCCAGCAGAATGCTAACAAAAGGGAAGAATGGAACTCATTCATAAGTATTGCAAAATGATGCTTTTTTAAAAAAAACTTCATCCTCCAAAGTTAGCACCTTGTTTTGAATAGATCTGAAAGTTTGACATGTGCTAAAGAAATTCCTCTCAACTTAAGTGGTTACTAAAGCTTTTTTCTTTAGAAGGGGAGAGTTGGGGGTGTAGCAGGGTGTGTGTGTGTGTGTGTGTGTGTGTGTGTGTGTGTGTGTGTGTGTTGGTCTTTGCTATTATCTGGAAGTAGAATAATGAGAGTAGGGGTGAATTATGAAGACTGAGGAAGCTTGAATAATTGAGACTGGCTATAGCATATCTGTCACTAGATATGTGCAGGCTCATTTAGGGTTTGTTTTATCATTCCTTACATCTAGAGCTTTGCCCTTGAAACATTACCACTCAGCTCTGCTTCTGACCTCCTGGAAAGGCTGGATACAGCTGTTAGGTCCCCCTGCAAATGGGACTGGTTGACTTATTTCTGGACATGAGGAAAACAGCTGGGAGCTTCTCCCATGGCTGTCACTTGAAAAAAAAGAATAATCTAGTGAAAGGAAAATGTATCCCCAAACTAGAGACAACTAAATAATGTTCCCAATACAGCATCCCAGAGCTTATGGGCCTTTCTGAGAAAAGAGTATGAGGCACAAGGAGTATAAAGCACATAATCCATTTCCTTAAATATGTGTCCCAATTAGTTATTATGATGTTACTCATCATAGTAACACAGCTTTGGTTAACTATGAGCATTTTAAAATATTAAAATTAAGGTTGAAATATGTGAAGTTTCCAAACACTCAACTGGCAAGTAACAGAAGCATATTGCAAATCTAACCCTATCTGGTTATCTCTCCTTGTAGGCTGTAGCTCTCTGCTAAACTGAGCAAGAATCCAAGTTTATTAGACCAAGACACTGCCAACCTCCTAAGAACGAATCATTTAAAACTCGTGTTGCCTTTTGCTGTGAACGCTAATAGATTTCAGTCTTAATTGGAAGAGAAGTAAAATAACCGTGGGAAGAAAATAAAATGTTAGAGATCATCAATGCAGGTGGTCACATGGTCCCAGACAATGGCAGTGTAACATCCAGGTCAAGCCTCTCTCTTGGTATTATGTTTGGGAATATAATTGCTTGTGGACACACACAAAGTACACACACATCAATCTCACTTATGTGAGCAGAGGTCATTAGGAATACATGACTATTTAGGAAAATCCATGAATGTCATTGTATATAGTAATTGTTTACAGCTGAGGGCCAAATGCTTAATTGTTCCCACGTGCAATAAAATAATTTGATTGGAAATACCTGTGGGAGCTTAGGTTGTTGCAGGAACTTCTAACAGGTGACCCTACAAAGAATGACATTGTAGAGACTTAAAGATAGAGGTAGTAACGCTGCAAAGTGAATCCATAAATCAAAAACATATTTTGCCACATAAAAATAATAAATTGTAATGCTAGACATAGAATTAAAGGTTTGCATTATTGTTTTAATCAAAATTCAGTTTATTATTGAAAAAAGCTAGAAAAAAAATAGTTGTTGAGGAAAGAAGATCCATGGTACTGTCTCATAATAAATACTCAAGACTATTCTGTAGTATGAGGGAATTCTATGGCAATTTATGGGCTTCCGCTGGTGTCTTATTTACAATTGTGGTTCTTTCTAGAATTTGCTTGCAAAATTTATAACCAGAAGCATTTAATCATCAGCGTCGAGGATTTATGTAGGTGGAAGGCACTGTATTTAATGTTTACATGACACTGTCCTATTACCTTTACTGCATTTTTACCATGTGGACCCTCCACTTTGATGGCTTTATCATAAATCCATTAAAATGCACAATTTGAGAGTTTCCTCTTCATAAACCTGATTTATAACCACCTACTAGAAGAACCCAACAAACCAGTTGGCAGGAATCACATGCTGGTAGTGGAGGAGGAGAATTCAGGCACCAAACTCTAGATCTAGGGAATGTCAGTAACCTGGTACCTGAAGGTACAGACCATTCCTTAAAAGCATGTGTTTCCAAAATAATATTTAAACTTACAATTTTTGAAAAAGAAAGGTC